AGAGTTGAGGCTCTAAATGATCAAATTAGAGCCTACCTCAAAAATTTCATCAGAAGAGGTTGTTTTAACATAGATCGTTCATTTTGGTGAGATGCTTAGATCTAGGCTTAGAAGGATTTTTTCATTTTCAAATTTTTTTGATGGCTTTATTATCATTAGATGAACAATGTTAAAAAAGAAAAAAAAAAATTGAGTTTATAAATGCTAAGATCTTGAAATTCACAAAATGAATTGTTTAGATTCGTTTTTAGAGGGGACTCATTTTAACCAGGGTCAAATTGAACTTTTTTTTGGATTGATTATTGAGATGAACAGTGGGATTGATTATTGAGATGTAGAGAGTGATTGATTTTGGTCTATGAGATGTTTGACAATGTCCATATATTTTTGGGCCTAATGTCTCTGTTTAGCTTTTGAAATGACACCCCTTGTTAATCTCGAAGAGAAAGGAGAAGAAATACTATGGTTTTGTTTTTGTTGGGTAAATCAGTGAGGGGGAAGGCTCTCTAGCCATTTTTCATTAATAGAAGATAGAAAAAAATCACATTTATACTATTTTACAAACCTACAATAAGATAATTGCATCAGATCATGAAGTATATTTGTGATTCAATATAAGCATTCTGGGTTTTTGGTTAGTATTCTTCTTGTTCCTTTCTTTAATATATTGACCGTGACATTTTGAAGAGAAGATGCACACTTTAGTTTCTCTCCATTTAATGCCGGTAAGAGTTTAAATTGTGAATATGGGAAATTATATTTAGAATTTGATTTCACTGGTAAACCAGTGGGTTTCTCAAAAGAAATTTCATTGGTAAACCAATTCATCCTATAGAAAGTCAAAGCAAAAATTTTCTTTAAAAAGAAAAATAAAACAAAAACAAACAACCACATGCAATGTGGACAAATCTTGATCCTTCTATATGTAAATTTTAAATTGAAGTAAAATATTGTCGAGAAGGTTGATACCTACAAAGCTAGAATGCAAGAATGTTGATATCGAAACTAATTGGAGAAACAATCAAGAAGCGACTTCTCACCTATAAGGTTTTTACCACATTATTCATGTTACACATCCCACAGACTCAGATCGCGAAACAGACCTTGAATTAGCAATGAAAGGGAAACTATAAAACCCTAGACTACAGGAAACTCATAATCCATTGATCATCAATCCATTCATTAAAATGAAAAGTGTTTGAGAAAGAGTGGGATTCACCTTTGGGGTCATTCCATGCCCAAGTAAAACCCACACTTGCTCCATCATTGTCCCAAATTCATTGAACAGTGAAGACCCAATGTTGTATGGTTTTTCTCCTAGTCCATTGGTTTATATTAACATTTCCCTTCAATTTTCTTTTTAGAAATATGAATGACATACTCATAGGAGGATAAGAAAACATAATACTTCAGAAGCAATTGAAAAAGTCTGGGTCAGTGTATCATTCAAGAACAACCCCGAAAAGCATATGTGCCATCATCTTATAATAAGTCGGCATAACGTAACACCTCCTCTACAAAACAAATAAATCACAAACAGCAAGAGGAATAACACCAGGTTCAGCAGTTGTTCCGCGCATAGAGTGAGTCTTTCCACTACCAGTTTGTCCATAAGCAAAACCAATGCCTACAGACAATGCACAAGAGAAAATAGGTAGCTCCCATTAAACAGAATATGGAGAAAAAGAAACGCATCTGTGTCACTCCTTGTGCAACAGAAATTATTCCCCGAAGTTCAGAATTTTAAATTTGATTTGAATCATTCTTTTGTAGGCAATCTATTTATATAACTATAAAGGGGAATAGGACCAACTCATTTTTTGCCCAATCGTGAATCTTTCAAATGATAATGCCACAAAATCAATGAATGTGAATAACACAGTTCAACATAATCACTTTGGTCAAATCACACTATTTAAGTTTCACCAAAAGCCGTATGCTTTTTCTAGTCTTAACAGAAAATAATTTCAGCATAGAAGGAGAAGTGTATGGGGCAGCTTCGCTTGCTTATCTTAAAAAAGAATTGACAGAGGAGAGTGATCCCTGAGTTTGTGTGTGTTAGTGATGCTGGTTATTTTATCACAAGGTTTGCTTGGCAATATCGAGATTGAAGTTGAAAGGATCACTTAAATTTTTTCACAAGGTTCTCTAATGTCTCAAGATTGTACCAATCCAAAGGAGAAGTGTGTGGGGGCAGCTTTGCTTGATTATTTTAAAAAAGAATTGACAGAGGAGAGTGATCCTGAGTTTGTGTGTGTTAGTGATGCTGGTTATTTTATCACAAGGTTTGCTTGGCAGTATCGAGATTGAAGTTGAAAGGATCACTTAAATTTTTTCACAAGGTTCTCTAATGTCTCAAGATTGTACCAATCCAAAGGAGAAGTGTGTGAGGCAGCTTCGCTTGCTTATTTTAAAAAAGAATTGACAGGGGAGAGTGATCCCTGAGTTTGTGTGTGTTAGTGATGCTGGTTATGTTATCACAAGCTTTGCTTGGCAATATCGAGATTGAAGTTGAAAGGATCACTTAAATTGTTTCACAAGGTTCTCTAATGTCTCAAGATTGTAGTAGCTTGTGTGAAATGATGATAACTTTATGTTTCAAAAAACAAAAAAAAGAGCCATAGGCCCTATCATGGTGAAATGAGTAATTTATAGTGCATGGCGTATTATGAAGCCAAACGTTATAATTTCTCTGTACAATATAGAACAACAAAATAACCTACTAGAAATACAATCACATTACTACCTTTCTGAAAACACAGAATTGGCATCCATAAGACAAAATAAAATTACAAAAGTAAACAGCACCAGAGAGTAGCATTGATCACTAAAACCATGTGAACATATCATCCTATGAATAAACTGGCAGCCCAAACCCATGTATGTCGACCCCGATAAGGGAAACACAGCCAATACTGCAGATACTTTTCATAATGAAATATGAATGGTTTTTCTCAAGTAGGCATTAAAAAAAATGCCATTTGTTTAGTCATGAATTTACATCTTGCACTATAATAAAACCAACAATACTCATTGTAATCAAGGAATGAAACACTTGAATTCAACAAATGAAAAATTCCAGGACAAATAAAGCCTGCAATCCATAGGTACCATTGAAGTCACACACAGACGATCCAACAATATCTTTGGTTCTAGCTTTGTAGATATCAACACTGTTGCATTCCTCACCAAATACTCTATCTGAAAATTAGAAGAGAGATAGATAGAGGGGAAAAATTTTTACATTCTTGCATTCAAGCTTTGTAGTTATCAACCTTCTCAACAATATTTTAGTTCAGTTTAAAATTTACATATAGAAGGATCAAGATTTGTCCACATTGCATGTGGTTGTTTGTTTTTGTTTTATTTTTCTTTTTAAAGAAAATATTTGCTTTGACTTTCTATAGGGTGAACTAGTTTACCAATGAAATTTCTTTTGAAAATGGTTTACCAGTGAAATCAAATTCTAATATGATTTCCCTTATTTACAATTTAAACTCTTACTGGCATTAAATGGAGAGAAAGTAAAGGGTGCGCCTTCTCCTCAAAATGTCACGGCCAATATATTAAAGAAAGAAACAAAGAAGAATACTAACCAAAAACCCAGAATACTTATATTGAATCACAAATATACTTCATGATCTGACACAATTATCCTATTGTAGGTTTGTAAAATAGTATAAATGTAATTATTTTCTATCTTTTATTAATGAAAAATGGCTAGAGAGCCTTCTCCTTCACGGATTTACCAAAACAAAAAAAAAACATAGTATTTCTTCTCCTTTCTCTTCGAGATTAACAAGGGGTGTCATTTCAGAAGCTAAACAGAGACATTAGGCCCAAAAATATATGGACATTGTCAAACATCTCATAGACCAAAATTAAAGAATTTTGGCACTAAATTAGTTCATAGTAAAGGAAACCTCACAAGAAAAGGACTGAGAAAGCCCAAGCCTATTCTGCATCAAGTAAATGCAAGCAATTCAAAAGGCTTGAATAAGTCTTCAAATCCATTAAGCCCTCCTTCTTCTTTAACTCCTCTAAAAGCTCATATGCCTGTTTTTCTCTCCCCTCTCTTCCCAATCCCTCCAACACAGTCTTATAAGTGAGAAAATCAGGCACCATTGAATTGCCCAACATATCAAAGAGCACCTCAATTGCCTCATCAAACCTTCTCTCCAATGCCAAACTACATATAACAATCATAAAGGCACTACTACTAGGAACAAACCCTTTCTCTCTCATCTCTCTGAAAAACTTCAGTCCTTGACTCACTCTCCCCTTCTCACAAAGACCTTTTGATATATAATTGTATGTATAGGCATCAGGTTCACACCCATACAAAACCATCTCCTTAAAAACCCTAATCGCCTCATCCATTTCGAGACATTTCGAATAAGCCTTGATAACCAAATTCAATGTGAAAGTATCAGGCACGATGCCTGTAGCTTTCATCTGTCTCACGAGGGACCTCACAGTGTGGAGATAAATGCAAGAAACATTGAGCTTCGTGAACTTCTGCAACACCGAATTGAGTATCATTGTGTAGGTCTGCAGTGTCAGTTTACAATTCGGGTCTCTTTGCATTTTCTTGAAAGCATCGATGGCTTGGCCCAAGAGCTTTCTCTTGCAAAAATGATTGATAATCGTGTTGAAGAGGGGTGGGCTAGGGCTGCAGGCTCCGGCCATGACCTCTGCAATTAGGGTTTCTATCTGCTTGAATCGGTTCTCAGAGGCGAGAATACGAAGCATTGTGTAGTAGGTGAGATCGGTATGGCGGTAATGGCGCTGGTTTGAGGTCCATCGGAAGATATCTAGGGCTAGGTCAGGATCTGACTGGTTTCTTAGGGCATCGTCTACGTCTTGTGGGGTGAAGCCTGGTTTGAGCTTGTGGATCCATGACTCGAACTGTTTCTCTAGAGGAGTTCTAGATCTATGGTTTTGGGGTGAAGGATGAGAGGGAGGAGAGGAAGAAGTGCAGTAAGATAAGCTATTGTTAATGAACTTGAAATTAGGGCTTCTGAGCTTATTGGTTCGAGTGATGATGATGCCGAACTGGTACAACACTCCCATAGAAGTCACACGTTAGAAGTCACTGAGAGAGATCGAACAAGAAAACGAGAGTTCGAGTGAATTCAATATTTGTGATTGAATCGAAATTTTGGATTCCTCAGCCCCCAAGAATCAACTAAAATCTCGAACCTATGGAAATTTGTCTGGGTGAGGTTTGTATAAAGTGACAACTGTACAAGTAAGGAACACCTCTAAATATCGTGAGGAGACCAAGTTATGATGTAATCGCTGCTCTGAAGAGGTCGAGTGGCTGGACCTGAAGGGGAAGAAAGAATTCGGCGTATTAGAAGCATAGTTAGCAAATCGGCTATTAATCGCCGATTTTTTCAAAAAACGTTTTGAACGCCGTCTTTTTTAAAACTTCGCCAAAAAACGCCTTTTTCATAAAACGTGTTTTTTATGAGGAACAAAAAACGGGATAAAAAAACGGTTTTTTTTTTTTTAATTGTAATTTTTTTTAGAAAGAAAAACAATTATTTTCCTAAATAGTGAGCAACAAGAAAATACTGTGTGCAGTATGATTTTGCTAAAAAAATAATGAGTAAAGAAAATCATTTGCCTTACAAATACCTTATCGGACTAAATGCTTCATTTGCCCTTTCGATTTAGCTGCTGAAATGCTGCATTTGCCCTTTCGATTTAGGGTTTCTGCTTCCACTTCTTAGAGTTCGCCGTTCGATTTAGGGTTTACCTTCTTAAAAGAGATAGAGAGAGAGAGATGTAACCTTATATTGCAAAAAGTCTTCAAGATTTAGGGTTTACCTTCTTTGAAAAACAGGGTTTACCTTCTCGAAAGACAAGGGAGATAGATAGTTCGCTGATCGCAGGTTTGCCTTCTGTTCTCCGTTTACCACTTTGCCTTCGGTTTACTTTTTGGAAAACGTTTTCGTAAGGATGCCGCCTTATATTGTAGAGCTGCGGATGCACCTCAAAAATCATTAGAAAAAGTAGTTTTAATGCTGAAAAACTCTTTGATTGATCATCTCGACATCGAGATGTATGACTATAAAAAATAAAAATATTTTAAGTTCAAAAAATAGTACATTTTACAACATATTATCTACACCGTCTGTTTTCAAGATCTTCATATGTTTATAGATATATTTGATTTAAGGTGAACAAATATATGGTCTATTTTTTGGTGTGTATTTAAGTACGTATAATCTTTTTTGAAAGTATTTAATGTGAAAATTTATATGTATTTTTTTGGTATATACTAAGTAGGTGTGATGGTTGTTAAAACATTTAATGAAGAAATTCATATGGTGTATTTATCATGAACTTATTATTTTATTTTTTATTAAATAGCATAAACGCTTAATGTGTGTGTAATCATATATTCTTCTTTTTTTTATTAAAAAACAAGAAAGAATATACAATGGTTAGGTCAAAAGATCTATTTTGGGATTCTTGTGAATAAAGATGACACAAATTATATTGTAATTTTTGTGGTGAAGGATTTTCTTTAAGGATGACAAGATTCAAATATCACTTGTCAAGAGAACAAGGGAATGATATAAATGTTTGCCCTCAAGTACCAGATGATGTACAAGCTATAACCGGATGAGAGTCATGAGTCATCTAAATTAATTGACTTAATTATATTAGTCTAGTAAAGTTTTTATGAATAGATTAATTATTGATGGCTTTGACATAATTTTTATTTTTTATAATTTCAAATTTTCTAACATTTTAACTTATCCGATTTTTTGAGTCCAATTTTTTTAGCCTAATCCGATATATTGGCAATATCTTTATATGAAGTATTTTTGCCAATCCGTATTTTTTATCAGATTTTTTCATTCGACTTTTTAAAATAAAAACAATTTTTCTCCCGATTTTAAGGTAAGCCGATTTATTGAGAGTTCCCGACTTGCTAACTATGATTAGAAGCAAGGGGGTCGATTATGCTTCCCCCAAATAGTAGATCGAATCAAACACAATTGATCGAGACTAACTTGGCTGGACTGACCAGGAAAGGAGAGGGTTCTTCGGCAGGTGATCATGATACCCAATTAATTACATCGTCATAAGATATTGACTGCGAAAGCTTAATGTCGATCAGAAAAAGCATTAAAAGAAGGCACACTACCCACCACTGACCCTGAGAGAACAAGCCTATGGGATGATCCTTCCCCAGCTCTCTTTGACCTACCCGAGGAATCTTTCCTTTATCATACGGGGTGGATGGATGAACCAGGTGCATATGGGGTCTTTCTTTCGAGCAATCATCTACTACAACGATTGTATCGTACTATAATGTAACGACACTTTTAAAAAATTGGTATTTGTATGATCCAAAATTTTTTACACACACACTCTACATCTCAATAATCAATCCCACTCTTCATCTCAATAATCAATCAAAAAAAAGTTCAATTTGACCCTGGTTAAAATGAGTCCCCTCTAAAAACGAATCTAAACAATTCATTTTGTGAATTTCAAGATCTTAGCATTTGTAAACTCAAAATTATTTTTTTCTTTTTTAACATTGTTCATCTAATGATAATAAAGCCATCCAAAAGAATTGAAAATGAAAAAATCCTTCTAAGCCTAGATCTAAGCATCTCACAAAAATGAACGGCTTATGTTAACAAGGCTCAAAAAATACTTTCTAAATTGTGTTTTTAAATTTTTAATTTTTGTAATTGTTCATTAGAATAAAAAGATTGTACATTTCAAATTTTGGATCAAACAAATGGCCATAAAATGGTTTTTTAAGGTTGTTGCATCATATAACTATACAACGATCGCACAAAATCATTGCTCTATATATAT